ACGATTTGACAAAAAAATCAAAACATGAAGAGTTTTTAAGAACGGACGGCGTATATATAGATATGAAAATGGAAAAGTTTTTTAAACAGAAAGACACCAAAACCAGCTTCAGGTTCATCTAGCAATAGTAATACGAACAAAGATATAATTGACTGTTTGAAAAATCAAAACTTGTAGGGAATATGTTTGAAATGTAAGTTTGTTTTTCTTTAATTACATATTTTGCTTTTTAATTAATTTTAATTTTTTATTATATACTATCTCCGTTTGTAAAAAGGCTTCCTACTTTGACTTGGAGCTGAGCCAAAATAAGAGACTTCCAATTTTGTTCCTGATGTGATGTGTAAAAGTAAGATGTGATGGATAGATTATTAGAGAAAAAGTATGATGTGATAGGTAGGGTATGAAAAAGTAAGGGTAAAAGTGATTTTTTAATAGAAAATGAAAGTGTTTTGTTGGAAGTGGAAAAAATGAAAGAGGAAGTGTTTTTGAGAACGGAGGGAGTATGTGTTTATTCTATATGTGCTAACCAACTATGCCCCGGTGAAAAAAATTTCTGGATCCGCCACTGCCGGCTTATTTCAGATAAATTTTTGGCATACCGGAGTACTTTATACTCAAGACTGTTAAAGCAAAAAAATAATGAACCATAAAATTGAAACATATGTCAGAGATTCAATGGTTAATGAAATATTTATCTTGCAATCATTGGTCAATTGGTTAATTTTAGTTAATGTATAACTTAAGCATTTGTTCAAAGTTATTTGTAAAAAATGGATGAACTCCATAGGATAATGCGTTTAAATAGATTAAAAATTTATCGAGCTAAATTCATCGATCAAAAATATAAACCAGAAAAATGTTATATAAAAATTATAAAAACTTTTGTTCAGCTCGATCTTGGGTTACAGACTTCACATTCTATGAGAATCGATTTGCCTTTAGGTAAAAAAAATTATAAAAAAACCTTGAAAAAAATTGAAAAATCAACAAATACATGATTATGAATATAATCATGCATAAACAATCATGGATCTCGAGAATACATAGCAGACTTCATTTTCAAAAACAATCCATCTGCGTCGAGAACATCTTACCATAGATTCAACCAAAAAACGATTGAAAAATTCATTCTTACAATGAATATGTGTATAAATAGATTAAAATATTCTTCGAGCTCAATTTGTCATTGCTCGATCAAAATATAAATAAGAAAAAAAAGTATATAAAAATGAAAATACCTTTTACCCAACTAGATCTTGGGTTGCAGACTTCACTTTCTATAAGAATCGATCTGCCTCAACGTAAAAAAAAATATAAAATCTGGAAAAAAGTATTAAAAAAGTAAAAATATACATGAAAATATTATAATCATCCATCGGAAAAGGATTGAAAAATTCGTTCTTACAAGAAGTAAGAAATAGAAATTATAACAACTTGCATGGGTTGAGATTGAAATGGAAAATTTTAAAAAAACGATTAAGGGCCTGTTTGGGATTAGCTTTAGCGATTAGCGTTAGCGTTTTGAAAAGGCTATCGACGGACAGCGTTTAGCGTTAGCGTTTTCAAAGCAATCTGCACCGTTAAAATTTTATCCAAAACGCTAACGCTAATCTCTAACGCTGATGGAGGATAGCTTCGGAGGACACGTCAGCTGGACCCCAACGGCCACGTGGAAGTTCTCGGTTCGACCCATGGGCTCGGCTCGCCCAGTGAGCTCGGCTCGCCCCAGGGGCTCGGCTATAGGCGGGACAGCGACATACGTGATAGCGACCGGCGGATAGCGACTGGCCGCGTTGACTGTGCGATAGCGATAGGATGAAAAGGACAACTCATGACAGAGATGACGTCCACTAGGCGACGAGCCTCGATCAGGGGACTTTGACCATATGTATTGTATCCCCTATAAAAGGGGCAAGAGCCCTCATTGTAATGGATTGGAATTTGAGATCAATATACTCCTACTTTGCATTCTCTCTCTCTAAAACTTCTATTATTTTATACTCTCGGTGGTTTATAGCCATCAAATTGGTGCTTTCATTGAGAGGAGAGGAACATACTCGTAGGTTAACTCCCGGACGCGAGAATGGTGCAAACAAGGAGCAACGTCCCTACCACCAGTCACGTCGGTGGCGAAGAGAACGCGCCGGGCAGCGGCAACGGCACGGGAGGCATCGGCTCGACTCCGGATGCGGTCCAGGCGTTATTCGGCCTGGGAGTGACCACGGAGCAGCTTCAGGCGCCCGTTGCGGCACTTTCCGCCATGGGTGGAAACGTGCCCGGCGCCGGAGCAGGAAAAGCTCCGCCCGGCCCCCACGCCGAGCACGCTGCCACTTCCCAGCACAAGGGGAAGAAGACCAGGAGGAGTAGAAGGAGGCCCTGCAAGGCCCCGGCGATCGAGGAAGTGATTGTGGAGGACGTTCCAGAAGGAGAAGAGGATGAATCCAGCGAGGGCCGGGTGTCAGCCTTCAGACGCTTGGGAGGCGAAGAGACCCGGGTATCGGCCTTCGACAGGCTCGACCGCGGACCGGATGGTCGCATGGGCGACCTCCGCCGACAAATAACCGAAGGTAGGCGGAGGCATGCTGAGGAGTCGGCAACATCGGATGCCCGCTCGGCGAGGCCCGAGCGGAGCGGAGAGAGGAGGGACGAGCGCACCCAGCGACGCCATAGTCCGACGAGAACTGAGAAGACGAAAGTCTCTGACAAAGGGGTATCTCGGCTCGCTCGTGAAATTGCCGAGCTAAAGCGCCGACTGGAGACCAGAGCCCCCTACAGCCAGCCTATCTTGCGGACGGTGACCCCGTTCACTCCGAGGGTCATGTCGATTCCACTACCGGCAAACTTTCGGCCGTGGCAGATCAAGGCCTACAACGGAACGACGGACCCCCAAGATCATTTGTCCAAGTTCTACGCTTCTATGGAAGCGGCGGCAGCCCCGGACGAGGTCAAGTGCCGATGCTTTCTCGCGACGCTGGAGGGCTCCGCGTGCGATTGGTTCAACCGGCTCCCGAAGGGAACCATTGACGATTGGGATACGCTGGCGGAGAAGTTCTTGACGCATTTCGCGGCCAATCGAAGGCAGAGGCTACCTTACTCCCACCTGCTCAACATATGCATCCGCAAGGGAGAAAAGGTCCGCGACTTCATAGTCCGGTGGGAGAAGNATCTTGCGGACGGTGACCCCGTTCACTCCGAGGGTCATGTCGATTCCACTACCGGCAAACTTTCGGCCGTGGCAGATCAAGGCCTACAACGGAACGACGGACCCCCAAGATCATTTGTCCAAGTTCTACGCTTCTATGGAAGCGGCGGCAGCCCCGGACGAGGTCAAGTGCCGATGCTTTCTCGCGACGCTGGAGGGCTCCGCGTGCGATTGGTTCAACCGGCTCCCGAAGGGAACCATTGACGATTGGGATACGCTGGCGGAGAAGTTCTTGACGCATTTCGCGGCCAATCGAAGGCAGAGGCTACCTTACTCCCACCTGCTCAACATATGCATCCGCAAGGGAGAAAAGGTCCGCGACTTCATAGTCCGGTGGGAGAAGGAAGCCAGAGACGTGCATGGGGCGGATGACCAAGCATTGGTTGCCATGTTCCAAGCAGCCCTTCCCCGCGGAGAGGTGAGGAAGGAGCTCCGCAAGAACCCTCCCCCCACGTACCAAGAGACCTTGGCGCGCGCGAAGTTCTTAGCCTCGGAGGAGTTCGACAGCGTACTAGACTCCGAGGCCGCGCCGGCTAAGCGAGCTCCAGTGGACTCGGGAGAGACCGCGAAGAAGAGGAAGAAGAAGAAAGACTATATCGCGGGCCCGAGGACGCCCTCGGCCGAAGTGTACTCTGTGGGCGCCCCCGTGGGGACGGGTCGAGAGCTTGCCCTCTCCCCGCTCCCTCACGTAGAGGCTTACGCGGTGGCTAGCGGAGCCAAGTATTGCGAGTACCATCGCAACAACACTCATAACACTAAGGAGTGCTTCACTCTTCAGAAGGAAATGCATCGACTCATCGCCCGAGGGCCACCTCCGCGAGACGATGCCGTTACCCCCTCCCGGGGGCCGCCGGAAGGAAGAACTTGGAGGAAGCCGACTGAGCCAGTCGCAGTGGCGACACAGGCAAGGAACCCCGAGAAGAGGCACATCGGGCGGGAGTGCGACGATCTAGACGAGGACGAAGCCCAAGGATATCCGGTGGGATTTATCCATGGGGGAAACATTGGCGGGGACTCCGTCGCTCAAAGGAAGAGGTGGAAGCACATGGCTTTTGTTGCCAAGGTCCATCAAGCGCCGGTGCCCAAGCTCGGAAGACGAGAGCAGATCCAATTCACGGAGAAGGATCTTCCGAACACGCCAAGCCCCCACCGGGATGCCTTAGTCGTGAAGATGGAGATTAACAATGCCATAGTTCACCGCACCTTGGTGGACACGGGAAGCTCAGTTAACATAATGTATGAGAAGACTTTCCAAGACCTCGGCTTGGATCGCAAGGACTTGAAGCCCGTGCGCACTCCCCTCTCCGGGTTCACGGGGGACTCCATCGAGGCCGAAGGAGTCATCACCGTGCCCGCAATAATAGGGGATGGTGCGCACAAGGCCAGGTTGAAGATGGAGTTCATGGTTGTGAGCATCAATTGCGCGCACAACATGATCCTGGGACGGCCCGGCCTTGAGGACTTAGAATGTGTGATCTCCCCGTACTACTTGTGCATGAAGTTCCCCACCCCGTCCGGGATCGGGGTGGCGAGGGGAGACCAGAGGTTAGCCCGGTCGTGCTACGTCCGGATCACAAAGAAGTTGCCAAGAGATGAGACACTGGTCGTGAACGCGCAGGAGGAAATGCGCAAGATGGAAGCACGACCGAAGGCCGAGCCCGCCGAGGAAGTCGAGGAAGTACCGCTCGACCCGCGGGCACCCGAGCGGAGGGTTAAAATTGGGGCGAGCCTAACGGGGAGCCAGCAGAAACGCCTGGTGGACGTGCTCGCCGCCTACCGTGTGATCTTCGCGTGGGGGCTAGGAGACATGCCGGGTGTTGACCCCAAGATCATATGTCACCGCCTAGCAGTCAATCCGGAGTCTAGGCCGGTAAGGCAGAAGAAGCGTTTCCTCTCGTCCGAGCGGAGGGAGTTTGCCTCCAAGGAAGTCGGCACCCTCCAGAGCATCGGGCATATCAGAGAAGTCAAGTACCCGGAGTGGATGGCGAACGTGGTGTTGGCTCCGAAGGGAAGCACTTGGAGGATGTGTGTAGACTACACCGACCTCAATAAGGCATGCCCTATGGATCCATTCCCACTCCCGAATATTGATCAGCTGGTAGACGAGACGACGGGTTGCGAGCTCATGAGTTTCATGGACGCCTTCAGCGGGTACCACCAAATCCGAATGCACCCCGAAGACGAAGAGAAGACGTCTTTCACTACTCCTGGCAGAGTTTATTGCTACAAGGTCATGCCTTTTGGACTCAAGAACGCCGGGGCAACCTACGCTAGGATGGTGAGCAAGCTCTTCGCGCCCGTCCTCGGGAAGAGCATGGAAGCATACGTCGACGATATGATTGTGAAGAGCAAGCAGGCGGCTACCCATGCAGAAGACTTAGAAGGAGTTTTTAAGATTATGGAGAGGTACAACCTTCGGCTGAACCCGAAGAAATGCACGTTCGGAGTTCAAGGCGGCAAGTTCTTAGGGCACATGGTGAGCAGGCGCGGTATCGAGCCCAACCCCGAGAAGGTGCGCGCCATTCTTGACATGGAGGCCCCACGAAATGTCAAGGAGGTGCAGCGCCTGACCGGGAAGTTGGCGGCGCTCAGCCGTTTCCTATCAAAAGTGGCGGACTGAGCCGCTCCCTTTTTCCAAGCCGTGAAGAAGTCTCGGGGGTTCGTATGGACGGAAGACTGCCAACAATCCTTTGAATCTCTGAAATCTTATCTCCTCTCTCCCCCGGTCCTCGCCAAGCCCGAGCCTGGGGAGACTTTGTATCTTTACTTGGGAGTGTCGCCCAAAGCGCTAAGCTCGGTCCTAGTCCGAGAAGATGGCGGAGCTCAACACCCAGTGTACTACACAGCGAAGACATTAAGGGGTGCCGAGCTCAGGTACTCCGTGGCCGAAAAGACGGTCCTTGCTGTAGTGTCCACCGTGCAGCGGTTGACGCCCTACTTCCAAGCTCACCCGGTTCAAGTGCTCTCCCAACAGCCCATAGGTGCGCTGCCCTCTCGCATGTCCAAGTGGGCGGTGTTCCTTGGAGCCTTCCAAATCGAGTTCAAGCCAAGGCCGGCGATCAAGGGGCAAGCGTTGGCCGACTTCGTAGTAGAGTGTACCGCTCGAGAAGAGCCGAGCCCAGAACTTGAAACCGATGACTGGTGGACAGTTTTTACCGACGGCTCCTCCGCCGCCAAAAACTCGGGGGGTGGAGTGGTGGTCATCGCCCCCGAAGGCTTCAGAGCGTACTATTCAATTCGGTTCGGTTTCAAGGCATCGAACAATGAGGCGGAATATGAAGCGCTCCTATGCGGGTTACGCCTAGCAGCCGGGATGAACGCGACAAAGCTAAGAATAAAGTGTGATTCGAAGCTGGTGGTGGGCCACGTCTCAGGAGAGTTCGAGGCAAAGGACGAAAGAATGAAGAAATACAGAGATACGACGCTAGAGCTACTAAAAAGCTTTACCGCATATAGTGTCGAGCAGATCCCGCGAGTGGAGAATGCCGAGGCGGACATCTTGTCGAAGCTGAGCTCGGACACGCCCGAACACATCCGGCGTATGGCGATCATGGAAGAACTGTCCGAGCCGAGCATCCATGCCTTCCCGGTAGCGATGATTTGCGCTCGGCCCAGAGATTGGATGGACGACATAATTGCCTTCCTAAAGGATGGCGCCCTCCCAGACGACGCAGTGAAAGCCAAGTTGGTCCGGACGAGGGCACCGGGGTATACATTGGAAGGCGAGAAGCTATACAAGCGAGCGTACAACGGGACGCTACTTAGGTGCCTTAGACCAACTGAAGCAAAGCAGGTTATGGAGGAGGTGCACGCCGGAATCTGCTCCGCCCACCAGGGGCTTACGCAGTGTCAAGGAAGATAACTCTCCAAGGATATTTTTGGCCAACAATTGTTAAGGATTGCGCGGAGTTCGTAAAGAAGTGTAAAGTGTGCCAAGAGTTCCAGAAGGTACCAGGGAGGCCTTCGACAAACTACACCCCCATCAGCACGGCTATTCCGTTCGCACGGTGGGGAGTAGACCTCGTGGGTGCGCTTCCTAGGGGCACCGGGAGCGTAAGGTACGTCATTGTAGCCATCGACTATTTCACTAAGTGGGTAGAAGCAGCCCCACTGGCAAGCATCACCGGAGCGCAATGCCTGAAGTTCCTCGCAAAGCAAGTCATCTGCCGCTTCGGCGTTCCTGAGCACATAATCACAGACAATGGGACGCAATTCGTGTCCAAGCCGTTCAACGCCTTCCTCGAGAGTTGGGGGATCAAGCACAGCTATGCATCGGTCGGGTATCCTCAAACAAATGGTCAGGTCGAGAACGCCAACCGAACGATAATTGATGGCCTGAAGCGGAAATTGGAAGCTTGTGGAGGGGAGTGGGCAGAGGAGCTGCCCTACATCCTATGGACCTACCGGACCACGCCTAGGAGGGCGATCGGGGAAACCCCCTTCGCCTTGTGCTACGGATTCGAGGCGAGGGCTCCTGCGGAGATCTCCATCGCCACTCACCGGGAGGAAATCTTCGACCCTGAGCGTAACAAAGAAGCCCTGGCAGCCGAGCTTCATCTCGTACACGAGAGGCGAGAAGCGGCCTTCATACGGGCTGAAAATTACCGAAGAAAGGTGAAGAGCTACCATGACGGGCGTGTGCGCGCACGGGGGTTCACCGAAGGAGACTGGGTGCTGCGCAAGAGGTCCGTAAGCCGCCCCCTAGAAGGTGGAAAATTTGCCAAGAATTACGAAGGCCCCTACATCATCAAAGAAGTGGTAGGCCCCTCGACGTTCCGCCTGCAGACCCCGAGTGTAAGGGATGTGCCCAGGACTTGGAATGCCGAGAACTTGATTAAGTTTTATCAATAGATTTCGAATGTACACGGGCCCGAAAATGGGAACCCGCAACACCATGATTGAATTCAATGAAATGGAATTTTTTTTGCAAACAAGGTCTAACAGGCGTGCTCGGCTCTCTCTCTCTCTCTCTCAGGGGAAGAGCCGAGCGCAGACCATGGCCGGATGCTCTTCCCGGATAAAGGTCTAACCTTCGTGCTCGGCACTCCTCCTCAGGGGAAGAGCCGAGCACAGACCATACCCGAACATTTTTCCCGGATGGAGAAACCTTCGTACTCGGCATTCCCCCTCGGGGGAAGAGCCGAGCGTAGACCATCTCCGGAGGCTCTTCCCGGATAAAGGTCTAACCTTCGTGCTCGGCACTCCTCCTCAGGGGAAGAGCCGAGCACAGACCATACCCGGACGTTTTTCCCGGATGGAGGTCAAACACTCGTGCTCGGCACTCCCCCTCAAGGGGAGAGCCGAGCGCATACCATGTCCAGATACTCTTCCCGGATAAAGGTCTAACCTCCGTGCTCGGTACTCCCCCTCAGGGGAAGAGCCGAGCGCAGACCATGTCCGAATGCTCTTCCTGGATAAAGGTCTAACCTTCGTGCTCGGCACTCCTCCTCATGGAAGAGCCGAGCGCAACTCTTAAAGCTAAGGGCGAAAAGTGAAAGCAAGACTTAATCACATCCAAATTTTATTCATCCCGGAAAACGGGCAAGTGCATGGCACAAACGCCTTACAATAATTAGACGCATTACAAATCATCAAAGAACGGGTAAACTTCAGTGCATGCCACAGTTCCACCCACGCTCGCAAGGGCAAGGTGGGGGGTAAGAGGGCGGAGAAGGAGCCCTACTGGCAACAGAATGACCGGTAGATTCGGCGAAGCTGGGCGAGCCTGGGTCTTCAAGTGATTGCCGGCTCGGATGGTGAGACGCCACGGAGCTCTCGCTCGCGTCCGCTGCCGGAGGAGCTGGAGGGCGACGTCCTCGACCCCCACGGCCGGCAGCAACCGGGGGAGGGGGGAGCTCACGACGAACTGGCGGAGGGGGGGTCTTCTCGTCCTCCTCCGACGAGTAGTAGATGAACCCCGGGATTTTGGCAGAAGGATCGGGGTGCACCGACTCAGAATCAGAGTCCGAGTCCCATGAGTCCCGTGGTAAGGGCGGCGGGGTCGAGCTCGGCCCCGACTTGGTTGGAATGGCCGAAGAGCCCCCAAGGGAATAGCTGCCAAAGGAGAACGTCTCTCCTCGCACCTCACTGGAATCGGGGGGAGTAGGAGCCGAGCGCGGCATGGTAAGGTTTGAAAGAATTCAAAAAGGTGATGAGAGCAAACAAATGGTAAGGCCCCTTCCCTTATATAGGCATCCCGCCTAGGGGAGGGGGTACACGTGGCAGGATGGGAACGGTCCAACGGGCGGCAGGTCAAAAGGTCAAGTCCCATCAACCGTCTCGGTTAACGAGGGGTCAAAGAGGATCAAGTCCCGAGGTGGCCTCTCCTCGGCGTGGCCGAGCTCAAGCCAGGTGGGGGGAGGCGAGTACGCAAGTTAAGAGAAACGACTAAGGCAGTAACATTAAAGGCAAGAGAAAGCGTAGCATATCCATACAAAGCAACAAGTCATGACATAGCCGAATTCAAAACAATAGTATAACAAGTCTTGGGCAACATTACACAAAAAAAAAACACACGGAGGTGGTCGCATCACTTAGCACCTGTCTGCTCGCCGGCCGCGTCTCCGCCACTCGGGTAATAGATGGAAGTGTCGAGCTCATCAGGGTTGTCGCACGGTTCGGGGAAGTCTTCTCCATTGAGGAACCTGTCGGAAAGGACCTGCTGCGCTCGGAACAGGCCGAGGTTGTACCACTGGGTCCCTTCGGAGCGAGCAAAAGCCCTCCCCTCGTCAGTCTGACCCCAGGCCTTGAGCAGGTCATTCATGCAGGCGAAGGCCTCATCTTGGAACGCCCCCGAAGATATGAACTCGGCCACGGCTTGCTCGCGAGCCTCGTTGCGTGCCCGGCGAGCCGCCTCCTCCGCGAGCTGCTGAGCCCTCTCCTCGGCCTGGCGAGCTTGCTCCTTGGCCACCTTCAGCGCCTCGTTGAGGTTAGCTATCTCAACATAAGCCCTGCTCCGGTCAGCCTCACAGATGCGCAGCCGCTGGGTCATGTCGACCATGCGCATCATCGCCTGCAGGTATACAAGGGGTGAGCGTTGCAGACGCATTTATAAAGTATGAATAGGGAAACTCACCGAGCCCATCTCGTGAAACATGTCCGAGGCCAGAGCTTCCCGGCCGGCGTCCTTGATCTTGGCGCGATCGGTAGGAGGGGTCATGCTACGCAGAAAAGTCTCCGGGTCGTAGTCCCGGTCCAGAAAGGAGACCCCTGCGGGGAAGGCCGCCTTGACACACTTTTGGTGGCCGAAATCTTTCATCATTGGGGATTCGGACCCCTGGGGAGTGTCAGTGGCCGAGGCCGTGTCCTTCCTCTTCTTCTTCTGAGCCGCCTCGGGGGTCGACTTCACGGGTGGGGTCGGAGGACTACCGGCCACGGTAGGAGCCCGGGAGTTGCCGCTTGGGGCATCTGGGAACATGAGCTTCATTCGCTCGGTGCTGGAGAGCATGATTTCACCTGCATAAACCAAAAGACAAGTGATGAGGCAAGGACTTAAGCCGCAAAGGAGCGATGTGGGGGAAGCCGAGGTAGTCGCGACCCACGGATGGCCGAGGAGGAGAGATTGCACTGACCTGAGGGGCTTTCTTCGATGCTCCGTTGAGTTTCCTCCGGGGATAGGAAGACGAAGCCGAGTGCCGCTAACGCATCGTTCGTCACTATCGAGCCGACTTCGAAGGGCCCCCCTCGGCAGAGCGTCTCTACATCCTCGAGCATCTTGTCCGAGTTGATGAACGCGGAACGGCGACGGAAGGATCTAAGGGGTTCTTTACGAAAGGGGGAGCCCGAGGAAAGAGAAACGAAGACGAATTTCCCTTTCCAACTCTTGGCGGAGTCCTTTCTCGTCTTGAAAAGCTTCTCCTGCCTTTGGAATATGGAGGCATACGAGCCCGAGTCGGAGTTCGCCTGGCCAGACGACTTCGCCAACCGGAAGAGAAGCAAGAAGCGGGCCAGATCGGGGCGAACCCCGGTCCCTTGGCAACGAATAAGAAATCCCGCCAAGTAACGGTGGGATTTGGGCACGACTTGGCAAGGGAGAAAATCAAAGTGGAGGAAGAAATCTATGACTAACTGGTGGAGGGGGAAGCGGAACCCATACTCAAGGGACTTGAGGTGGATGGCGAAGAAACCCGGTGGGGCATCAAAGACTGATTGTTCGGCGGTGGGACGGTGCACGGTAACACCCGGCGCCGAGGCTAGGCGCTTCGCCTTGCGGAACTCCTCCCGGGTAAGGGTGCATTTTCGCGCTCGGATCCCCGAGTCCTCGAGAATGGTCCGCCTCTGATTACGAGGCTCGGACTGAGGGGGGATCTCGACCGCCTCGACTATCTCCTCGACGGAGGGCGAGCGGGAGTCGCTCTCCTCCGCGGAGCCTGCGACGGAGCCCTCGGCACCACGCTCGGACTCGGACTGACGAAAGACCGAGGATTGGGAAGACATGGAAGAACAAGGACGAGGAGGACTAACCTAGTGTGGAGCCGGAAGGTGGGCGAAAACGGCGGTGAGAAGGCTAGCGACGGCAAAGGAAATCTCCTACTTTCTCTCTCTAAGAGGTGGGGAATGAAGAGGGTAGGGCTGATATTTATAGAGGAAGGTTTTGAATGGATGCAATGATGGGCCGCCACTTGGCCTAGGGAGGCGAAACGGCGCATCCCTTCATGATGGCGAAGCCCAAACGGCACCAACGGCCTGCTAACCTTTTCCACGTGGGACCCCGCGCCGCTCTCCTACAGTACATACACTCTCTCGGGTTCCCTCGCCGATTGCAACGAAACCCGGAGAGTGGGGGGCATGTGATGGAGGATAGCTTCGGAGGACACGTCAGCTGGACCCCAACGGCCACGTGGAAGTTCTCGGTTCGACCCATGGGCTCGGCTCGCCCAGTGAGCCCGGCTCACCCTGTGAGCTCGGCTCGCCCCAGGGGCTCGGCTATAGGCGGGACAGCGACATACGTGATAGCGACCGGCGGATAGCGACTGGCCGCGTTGACTGTGCGTAGCGATAGGATGAAAAGGACAACTCATGACAGAGATGACGTCCACTAGGCGACGAGCCTCGATCAGGGGACTTTGACCATATGTATTGTATCCCCTATAAAAGGGGCAAGAGCCCTCATTGTAATGGATCGGAATTTGAGATCAATATACTCCTACTTTGCATTCTCTCTCTCTAAAACTTCTATTAGTTTATACTCTCAGTGGTTTATAGCCATCAAACGCTATTCCCAAACGGGCCCTAAAATAAAAAACAATGTTCATAGAGAGAGAGGGTGGGCGGCGGATGTTTAAGGAGGAGGAGGAGAAATGTAAAAAGGGATGGGGTGGAGGGTTTTTATTTGAAGTCCCCTAAAACTTTCGCCTGGGGTGGGTATATGTTGGGCTTTTTTTTAAGACCAGGCCCGCTTTTATAGTAGTTAGGACTCCTTTTTATTATTGTTTACTTCAAAAGCAAATTTTGACTTGAGAAATTTGTATTTGGGCCCCTTTTGCATGACTTTTATATTATATTGCTTGGACCAAATTATATCTACCATACTCATCACTATTTTATATATATATATATATATATATATATATATATATATATATATAGCTCAATAAATTTCTCCACAATTACAACATACTCCGGATCCTTTTTATAATTTTATAAGTTATTTAAAAAATTTTAAAAATAATAGTTACCAAAGAAACAATGGAGAAATTAATGTTACTTCGAATTTGTAGTAAAAATTATACAGTATACATTATTTAGCATTTATAATTTTACATATGTCAATACAGAAAATGAACGTGCTGTTCGTTAGAAACAATTGCCGAGTGTCACTGTATCAGGTTTGACACGCGAATCTGTTGACGAGTGCAGCACAAAAAACGATGGTATTCTTTTATTTTTCTATTTTTGTAACATTTATTACGCTACATATAGTATGATAGTCGGATTAACGTTATGTGTTTCATGTATGTGGTAGGTATATCAACTAGGTTCAAGTAGCGGTGTATCAATGAAGGGATTTTAAGATGAATTCCATTTTCTGACAAAAGTAACGGTAATGAAATATGTTTTAAAAAATGATTATATATTAATTATATGATATATAATTAATATATGATATATAATTAATATATTTCGTTTCTCTACAAAATAAATTTCTCACCGTGCATCGCACGGGTTAGAATCTAGTTTGTTCAAAGTTATTTGTAAAAAATGGATGAACTCCATAGGTCGTTGGACTGGCCCAGACTGAAACCTTAAACAGTTGAGAGGAAAAAAAATATTTTTCATCCATTATTATTTGACTTTGGAGTAAGATGGAATAAAGCAAGGTGAGTTCTAAACTCTGAGTATTTCTTTTAGTGGTGAATTAGTAGTTAGCCAATGCAAGTTTGACACTTCTCATGGGTCATATTGAAATATTTGCTTTGTGTTTAACGGCCAAATAGCTCTGGTGCCCGCTATGGTTTGGAAAATTAGCACCAATACCCCCTCTATTTTCAAAACTTATTTCTAAAGTTCCCGTGGTTTCAAAATGCGTGCCCCCTCTGATCATTTTCTGGCAAAGAGGGGCATTTGCGCATAATTTTTAAACCATAGGGGGCATCCGTGCTCATTTTTATTTTTCGTTTATTACTTGTGTTTTCCTTTTTTAAAATATGTTCTCTCTTTTTCCTTTTCCTAGATTTTTTTCTAATTTATTTTCAATTTTTTATAATATTTTAAAAATTTTAAAATTTTTTGTGTTAGAAATAAAAATAATAAAATTAACATACATTGCATCTATTTGAAATTAAACATTTTTACTTTTTACTACGTACATATTTTAAAAGTTCAAAAAGAAAAACCTAGAATAAAAAAATGAAAAATAAAAATACACAAAAAAAGTCTAATACAAAAATCACTTTAAATTTTATGAACATTATAAAAATAATTTTAAAAAAACCTTTATTAATCAAAGAAACAAATAAAGGAAAAAATGGAAAAAAATAAAAAAAATAAGCGAGAAATAAAAATGAGCACCGATACCCCATGTGGTTTAGTAAATATGCACCAATGCCCCCCTTCTTCACCGGAAAAATGGCCAGAAAATGACCAGAGGGAGTACGGGTGCGGCATTTTGAAACCATAAGGACTTTAGAAATAAGTTTTAAAAACAAGGAGAATTTTGGTGCCTATTTTGCAAACCACGGGGGATACTGGTGCTATTTGGCCTATGTTTAACATATGGCTCAAATTGCGTACATTTGATCCCTCCTTTACCCCGCAATGGGCGGATTCTTTGAGGTACTGGGGTAATGTTGTTGTACACCGGTTGACAGGGAGTGAAGCCTATCCTGACAGGTACAAGGATCCCATGTTATATATGGTCATCTTTCACTTTTAATGTGCTTTCTTCCATTCTCTCTTAGCCCCTTAATGTTGTTTCATTACAATTTAAGTTCAACTTCAGATGTGGCTGCCATTTCGTTAACATTCTTGAATGATGTTTTCAATTCTTCCATTTTTCTTCTGCACAAATTACAATCATATAAGTTTTAATTTGTACTTTATTAAAAATGGTACCTATAGGTCTGATGAGTATTGCATTCTAAGGTTCCATTTGTATGGGAGAAAGATAATTTTTCGTAAACTTTTAAATTTAATTTTAGATGTTTAGTAACACGAGTAGAAAAAATTTTCAATGTAAAATGTAGACTTTATCATATTATTTTTATGTGTTCATAGTTGAATTTTCTTAATTTTACAAGAGCTATTAAATAAAGGTATTTTATCTGCAAATGTCTATAAAATAAGCCTGGATTTAAAAACCACCAAAGAATTTGGGAGTGGGATGCACCAAAATGCCCCAATGTCTAATCCACAAAAGCAACCTCAACAAGGCTGGCATTTTTGTACTTCCATACCCAATGAAACTTAGTCACCAAGAATCAATCCCTCAGTCTCAAAAGGCCCTCTAAAATATTTATTCATTTTTAAATATTTCAAAGAATAAAACTCACTTGTTCCTTTTTGTTTTAAAAGTTAAATACTGTAAATGTGTATCATACTTTCCATATTCATTAAGAATAAAATGAGTTAAATATAATACAGAGTATATATTTACTTTCGTTCAACTGTTAATGTATGTAAATGGCCACAATGGAAAACTATTTAAGAATAGATCAAATACTTTATTTCTTCTTTAGTAATGAATATGTGTTTCACAAAAAAAATCATGTATAAATAAATTTTAACCATATACATAGAGTATATTTTTATCTTTTAACACTTTTCTTAAACTTCTTAAGAATTAAATGGGTACATTTTTTTTGGGATGAAAAGAGTACTACCTCATTCTTTTTCAATCGATCATTGTGACTTGCTTGATACATTGAATCAAAAACAAATATTCACATACTTTATGTCTATACTTATTTATTTATTTATTTATTAATGTTCTAAAAATTTACTGAGTATAATAATTAATTAAAAAAGAATGAAAGGGGTATTATTTACTCTCATATTACCCTCAATCAAGATCCAAAATTTCCAGGTGACATCCACTAGCTTTAACTCTCTTTATAAAGTGAGACATAACCTCAGTTTGAAAGAAAAGAATTATGTAATCAAAATATGCTTTTTAGATACATCAAGTCATCACTCATAGCCAATAAAAAAGTAACTTATTTGGAGTATTGATTAATACAAAGATTTGGCTATGTTAGTTACGGAGTATAATCTTGTCTAAACATTCTCTAAAAAAAGATCATGTTAGGAATCCATCACGGTTGCCTTTCTGGATGACAATCACAACTGATTTAAGATATACACAAAGAATAATCATCTATGTTCACAGATGGTTATCGTTTGTGTATGTTCAAATCATTTATGATTGTCATCTGTGAGGACACTGGTGATGGATTCCTAACATTTTTGCTTTAAAAATAAGGTCATATCAAACCACAAAAATTTTTATGGGAGAACGGATATAAGTGCTCTGTAATATGCTAAATAGTTTCTCGAATTGTCAGTTTCTAATTTTAAATGGTTGTGGATTCATACTCCATTGGTCTCGAAAGAACTTCAGAATTTATGCAAAAACATAGATGTGTAATGAACATTGTGTAACTCGTAATTATTGTAAATGTGCATATACCGATACACCATAAATATCGTGCATTCGAGTTTATAATTAATATAAGAACTCATTTGCATAAAAAATTATTTTAAAATAACAAAGAAAATATAATCCATATCTAAAGAAAAATATGGTGACTAAAACAATACTGAGTAAGTTAGGCTTGTGCCTTACATGTTTATGGTAATTGTCGGACCTAAAACCAATCTATGGAGTTACGGAGCATTAATTAGATCATGACATTTCTCTAATCACAAGTGTTTTATGAAAAATTGGGATTTTTCCCATTTAAATTTATATAAGAAGAGGGAAATAATTTGAATTACTTTGTCCGTAATACTAATAATAAACTAATAAAAATATGAAAAATTTATTTTGAAAGAACGAAAATATAATACTCCATCTGTTCCTTAAAACCATTTCTGTTTTGACTTTGGGCTAAAATAAGAAAAGTGCAATTCTGGTTCACTTTCCAATTTTGTCCCTGATGTGATGAGTAAAAGTAAGATGTGATAGTTTGGTTATTAGTCAAAAAGTATTATTTGATAGGTAGGGTTTGAAAAAGTAGGGGTAAAAGTGGGTTTTTAATAAAAAAGTGGAAGTGTTTTAGGGAATTGAAAAAAACAAAAGGAGAACGGTTTTATGGAAAGGATGGAGTAGTTCTTGATCTCATATTAGTATTACTCCGCATTATAAAAGAAAGGATAAATACCTAACAAAAACTAAAACATGTCACATATAGTAGAGTAAAATACTCAATAATTTGAGTATGAAACTATAACTTGAGATACAAAAATATCACATTGAATTTAATATAGAAACCATCCTTTAATCTTATTTAGATAGATTCTTTTTATTGAATTTCCTTTGAAAAAAATTGGTACACACTATGCATATAGGTATTTTTCAAAATAAATCTGTAAAAATATGATATGGAAAAGATTTTTTTTGAACACCAAGAAAAGATGCACATTTTTAAATAAGAAGGTTCTTACTCAAAACAAGAATTGGAAATTACAATGGTACTTAAGAGACACCTAATAAGGAAAATTGAAAACTTATATAGAAATGCTAGTCACAAACAAAATAGTCACAACATTTTTTTCCTGTAAAATGATCGGTAAATAACCGGAAATCTGTTAAAACTGTTTTCCTAAAAGATATTTCAAAATCCATACATTTTTTTGATAGAAAATAAAATTTATGTGCTTATTTGAAAAAAAAAACAATTAAAATTCAAGTATGGTAAAATTTACCCTCGTCTCCCAAATTAAATGAGTGTTCTTTTTTTCGTTTGAAAATACAATTTATATTTTTCAATTTTTTAAGAATCAAAAATATGTAGCTCGTAATAGTTTTTTTTCCTTTTAAATAAGTTTAAATCACGTGTTTTTAAACAATTTTTTGAATTTCATGAAATTAAATACTCCCTCCGTCCCTCATAGATCTTCTCAATAGCCCTTTTTCTTAGTCCACAATAGATCTTCTCATTTCATTTTTTAACAATCAAAATACCACAACTACCATCACTTACTTTATTTATTACACCTCACCCACCTCATTTAATACACTCCACCCATTTTCATTAAGGGTATTATGATAATCTTTCATCTTTTTTCAACTCTCCTTAAAAACCAGCAAAAGTCAAAATGAGAACATCTTAGGGAACTGAGGGAGTACTCCGTAATGAATTAAATTGAGGAGTTAGTCATGGGGATGAGATCTAGATGTGATGTGAATCAACTACCACGTTCTGTCCATAATCCATCTTGTCATTTTTCCGCATCTAAACATTCCATTATTGTTTTTTCTGAAAAAAAAACATTTCATTATTGTTGAAGTAATATTGTACTATAGTCTTTATGAACTTTTGAGTTATTCTTGTTTGGGAATAGCGTTAGAGATTATCGGTAATGTTTTGAAAAGGTTTTCTA